GCTTTGTTTACGTTGTGTGTATCTGCAGTCGGCAGCGTCGGTTTTCCTTTTTGAATAACGAATATAGACTAATATATCTGCAGAAATAGACAGTTGGCTCATTAAATGCAGGCGCAGAGCGCACATTAGTCTATAGCTGACAGTCGGCTGCTGTTCTCTCGGTGAGTTCAAGTGCAGCTTTTTACCTCGACGAGAGCGGACGAGTTCCGGGCTTTAGAGAGGACAGAAACTGCGTTACACTGCACAACGAAGCTCTTACTGTATGTACATCATCGTATCTGCATCATGTTACATTTGGTGGCAGCAGTTTTATTCCTATGAACTGTGGATGTGTTCACTTTTTTGTGCCATCTGGATTTTTATACTCTTTGAGGCCAGTGGATTACCTGAAATCTAGTTTGGAGATATTAAGTGACTTTTGCAGTATTTTTTTCCCCTCTACTTTACATGCTTTTGTGATTTTTGGACTGGACATTTTGTCACCATGTCGGCTGATTAAAGGAAAAGTGAATCTCTGCTGCATTCTCCTCCCTCACAACGATGGCGAGATGCTAACGCTACATCGACAGTTACTGCTCCTTTAGCCACACACGCTGTCTCCAGTGCCCTGAAAATTGATCTTCCACCCGCTTTTAAAGGAGAAGGGACTGGATCATTCACCAGTTGGTCTCAACGTTTTGAAGTGGCAGTGCAGGCTATGACTTCAACTGATACGGATCTGCCTACGGTGATGGCCTCCATCCTCCCTACTCGACTAGCAGATGCTGCATTTCTGTATTAGGACAGCCTTCCTTATTCGACCCAGAGAGACTATGATTCAGTAAAGAAGAGACATTTTTGGACCAATATACTCCCTGCCATTCATCCAGACACATGTGATTGCTCGACATTTTCGACCAGGTGAACGTTTGAATGTGTACAGTGCAGACATCACTTGTCTTGTACTAGAAGCCTTTCCCAACTATGACCACAATGCACTAGAGGGTGAAAAATGTCACCACTTTGTTGCTGGCTTGGACCCAAATTTTTTCACCCAGTGTCTCTCCACAACCCTATCATAACGGACAACACCACAGTGACAATTACTTACCTGAGCAGCATCATGGTCGTGATCCAGTGTCCTGCAATGAACGTTGTCCTTCTTCCCCTGTTACACAGAGAGACAGTCAATGGCATGACAATGACAGACGTGACCGGCATCGCTCTCCCTCATGCCAGTCTTATCAGTACTCCAGGTATGGTCGCCATTACAAGGATGACACGAACCGATACAGACGCCGCCCTAGTCCTGCTCCACCGAGAAACAGGTATGCCAGTCGACACGTTACGAAGCAGTGTTCGGTTCCAGTCTCCTGAAAGATACCCGCACTCTGACTCCAACCGTCAGGGAAACTTCCATTAGATTCTGTTGAGGGGCAAACATCAGCTACTGTCTCACAGCCCCAGACCCTCAAGTTACTGCCTGACAACAATGACTCAGACCCTGATGATTCTGTCTCTTCAACGTTCTTGGCTATTGTTGAGGGCATTGAAGTGTGCTTTTTTAACCAAAGTTAATTGACTCTGGTTCTATGGTTTCCCTTGTGAGTGAAGATTTTCGTAACTCTCATCCAGCATTGACAAATAAAAAGGCCCATGACACCCTTCTCTCTGCCAGCTCACTCAGTCAATGGACAGTGCTTGGACATTTTAGGGAAGTTAATGATTGGGATCAGACTTGGACATCAGGTATGACAACAGGACTTTGAAATTCACAGAGGTGCTTGCCAGCCAGTCATTCTTGGTTTCGATTTTCTGCGGAAACACCATGCTCTGAGTTTCTAAATTGCAGTTAATGCGCCACTTCCTGCTCAAGCTTTCAGTCGCCAGAAGAGTATCCCGACTCAGCAACCTGTAAAGCCTAGGCCAGAGTCTAAGCCTCGACGGCGCTACTGCTCCGCCAAGCGCTAGCCCTTTCCGAAGCACCAAGGTCCCCGGCACTAAGATAATGCTGGATCCTGCGCCTCAGAAGTTGTCTTGATCCCTCAGGAAGGAAGAGGGGTTACGGCCAAGTACACACGAAGCCAGAGCTTCCCCTATCCAATGTTTTTTTTTCCCTCGTCCTAAAAAAAAGTCTGTAAACACACCAGCATCTTTCTGCGTACACACAAAAAATATCTGCGTACACAAGAAACCACTGAAACCGGCAGAAAATAATGTAGTAGACATCACATACCAGTATGTGGCGCTGTAATTCTGCCATAGAGATCCACTAAAAATGCAAGAAAAAGACTTAGAGCATGCGCATAAAACCTTGCTCGCTGTAGGCAATAAAATAAAAGGCTATGAAATAATATTATGCACAGTTGCTTATTTTCTTTTTTACCAAGAACTTTATTGAACAACCATAAATTGCCGGGTACAAAATAGGGAGTCACGATAATAGATTAGTTAGCGGACTCAGAAAGCTTGGCACAAAGAACCAGCAAAAATAACGAATGTGTCAAATATATAAATTTTAATTGTTTATTTATAATGTTTTCTGTGTCATTCTTGACTGAAAAGAGGAAGTTGATGATCCTGACTCGCCACTTCGCAGTATTGTGAACACGCCGGAGTAGGCTAATGCACATCATACGGATTATAGGCTATAAGAGAGAGTATCTGTTTCTTATCGTTTAGAATTGTTGTTTGTTGATGTTGTTTTAACGTAGATATTTCAAGATTTCTATATATTTCTGAGTTTCGGTTCATTTATGAGACGAGCTCCAGTTCCCGAGCAATGCAAGTTATATCGTGCCGCGGCGTCCATGTCCTGATTATATTCTGCTATAGCCTATATTGGCTTCTTTTATTAAATCCAGGTCACTGGTTGATGAAACATTTATTAAAATTAAGATTCAAAATTAGGTCTACCAATATAGCCTATTGCACAAATGCACGTGGTTCACTTTTCATAATCAACATAGATTCAATAAAAAAATAACATATTTAAACATAAATATTAAACTAAATTTATTTCTTTAATGGATATAACACGTACGCTTAATCTACAGAGAAATGTAATGTGGGAGTGGAACATTAGGGATGCATTTTTTGAACAGCCAAAATAATCAAATAATTCCCATCGACGGTTGAATATTATTTTTGCTTTAAATCCCCATCCCTACAAAATACAAAATGTCTTTATCAGGCAACAGACCAGCACCATAGCATACGAAATAAAGTATAGGCCTAAAAAAATAACATTCAAGTAAATAATAAATAAAGGAATACAAGAGGCTCAGAAGTTTCTGCCGCATTATATACAAGCAGTTCGGCAGTTGTTGTTGCTGTTACTTGACTGTCTGACTAGTCGACATGTGGGGTGATGACATCATCGTTTCACAAAATATACGGATTGGCCGTACACACGAAAACGCAAGGGTGTTGTTTTTAGATTTATCCACCCTGGGACCCGGTTTCAAAAAAAGCGGTTTCACTCTCCCAAAACGGCAGATCCGTGTGGATGAAATGAAAATCCTCAAAATTAAATCTCTTCGTGCTTCAGAATGCATTAAATATCTACCTATCAGACTTTGGGCCTTTAGGTTTAACATGACATCATGACTTTTGCGTAAACATACACGCCACTTTCAAGTCAAGTGGCGTGTTATCTATACGCATTTTGACCTGTCCTCGTGTATGTCTACGCCATTAAATGTCTGAGCGAAACAAAGCAAAATGTAGATCTACATCTGGGGAGCGATATTTTTTTTCCTAGGATGGTAGGGGAAGACTCACAAATGGTATTAACCCCAGTGACGGGTAGGTTTAGGGACGGGGTAGGTCATAGATTTATATATACAGTAATGTAACGTTAAAGGGTAACTAAACCCCTGGTCAGAGCCTGACTCCACCCACTAGCAATATTTGAAAAATGCTGAAAAAATGGGCAGACCCCAGCGGGGCTAGGGGGCGTGCACCTGAGACCCGCCGTGAGTGACAGCTGCTGTCAGACTCTAAAATAGAGCGAGACTAGTCTGGAGTGACTCAATAGCTGCCTTTGCAACAGAGCGGCCATTTGAAGTCGAGGACTTTTCTCCCTCACCTTCACCTTCACCTGAAGTGGATGAGGGTGAATTGTATGTATACACAGGGCCAAATCCATTCGAGCTGCTGGCTCAAACTGCGGTCTTAACTCCCGCATCGCGACCGGCATCTGATGACTTATGTCGTCGAGTTGATCTCAATAGCGCACGCTATTGATATTATGCCGCTATATGAAAAAATCCAGCAAAATGCACCGGCTCGTTTGTCGACCCTAGAGGATTAACTTTATCCTAACCATAAATTGTGATTAAAATATCCATGATCACTCACATCAAGACGCCGCTGCGGTGGAGGAGTCCATGCAGGACGAGCAGTGTTTGGCACTGCGTGTGGAGAAGCCCATGTCCACCTCTATTCCGTTACTATCCTGATCACTGTACTAAACACTGATAAATCTATGCTAACTTGAAGCTATCCTAACTGTACTATGCTACTAGCTACACAAAATAATCTAAATTATCTATATAATGCTATGCTAAATAGATGCAACAATACTCTATCCTGGTCGTTTTCAAAAATAATCTAAATAACTATATAAATGCTATGCTAACTAGATGCTATTATATGCTATAGTATCCTGATCGTTTTCAATATTCATAAATCCAACTCCTGACTCCTACAGTAGTTTTGACGGAACCAGATGCTTTTATACCAGGGGCTGCCAAGGGCGTGGTGAGCTCGCACCAAGGGTGTGACAGAGTGCGTCTGAGAGTTCGCTACGTCAGCAAGTACCCCTACTGCAGGAGCTTTCCGTTTAACCTGAAGAGGGCAGCACTCAGACGTTTTTACACCATATATTTGAAAATCAAAACACTTTATACTCAATTGTCAAAAAATGTACTCGAATCAATGAACAGCATTTATGAAGCTCCATTCTTACAGATCATTAACTAAAAAAAGTTGTTTTGGTGTTTAGTTACCCTTTAAGTCAACTGCGTCCATAAAACACACTGAAAAGAGATTATTTGCGTTGATAGAAAAAATGGAAATACGAATTGGCATGTCATACATACGCCATTTCATGAGATCAGTCTGTTAGGCTTAAGGGGAATAGAAGGGTAAATTGTTTTTTGATTCATTTCCCATTTCAGTCATAATTTCCTATTATAACAAGCAAATGCAGTGCAAAGCAAAAAGTTCACTATGGGTAATGGGAATAGACACAAAACTGTCTGGACTAACATTTACAGACAGAAATACAGTTTTACTGTATTAACACAAAAAATGGTTTAGTTTAATTTTCTCAGCCGTTACAGGTTTTTAACATACAGAAGTTTCGTCAGCTGGTGTTGGGGCATTCTGGGCTGGAGAATCAGGGTTGTGCTGCCCCTCTTGTGTGGTGCGACAAATAAGGGCAAAATTCACAATATGTAGTATGTAATGGACAATATGTAGGGTTCAGACTTGCCCTTGATTAAACCTAGACACATAGCTGTCTATCACTTCCTGTTTGTCTGGTTTGTCAAACTGGGACGTAAGATCCTCAGGTACGGAAATCTTCAGGATATCGTCCATATAAGGAGTTCGGTCCACAACAACGTTCTCAAAGATAAGTTCCAACAGGTTGTCCACGTACTCTGTATAAATAAAAATAATAATAATTTGTTGTTATTTTCATTTTACTCTGAAGTTGCGTTGCTCAGTACTGTGGAGTATTTTCATAAAAAAGAAAAAGAAAAAAAAATATGTTCAACTTCTGATATTATGTCTGTACAAACAACAACTATTTTGCACTTAAATAAAAGTTGTTAAACTCACGGAAGGTTGGTTCAATTTTTACTGGCTTTGCAGAATATTGTCCTTTTTTGTGTTTTGGGAAGACCACCTTAAATAGTGGCTCTCCAGCTGCTGTCGTGGCTTGGGGACGCCCAGCATTCTCATTAAAATGTAGGCCAGCCAAGTAGAGTCTATAGAGAATACATAATGGTTAAACTTTACTTATGTCACACTTGTGTGTTTGAACTTGTTTATACACTACCTAATTATATTGAGTTACCTGCATAACATTCCCAGGAAAGAAAAGACAACATTCTTTGGCACAAAGCGCAAAATTACGCCGTGGAACGGCTCCAGTGATGAGGTCTGATGGTGAGGGCTCAGTTTTTCAACATCCTTCAGAATCCTCTTGTTTCTAAGGATCTTCTCTAATCGAGAGAAGGCAGTTGTACCTTCGGTAGGAAGGTGGAACTTATTAAACTTTATATTTAAAACCAAGTTTATATATATATATATATATATAAAGTACATATTTTAATTTAAGAGAAAAAATATATGTCTGTCGTATACGCAGAGACACTGATAATAGGGTAAACACACCTGCTCTCATCCACTTGCTCTTGTCCGTTGTAGTGCTTTGCGGATGCAAACACTGAGGGAAAACGGGATCATCATGTGTGTGCACGTCTTGGATATGATTAAGAATTGATGTCCACTTTGCCACTCGCTCTGTCCCTGATGAAGAAGAAGCCGCTGTCCAATATATGTGGTTTTTTATACTACGATACCACTTCTGCAGTTTTTCACTGTCTTTGTTCTGAGCAATCTTCCGCAGTTTCTTTGATACGCCTAATAATATAAACAAACAAACTTTAATTCAGCCATGCACAAAGATACCGTATGTTTATTGGACACTTCATTAAAAGGAAGTTCTGGTCAAATATATTGTTTTGCATCAATGTTTTGTAATAAAATTTTACTGATCAGTTTAAAAAACAGTCGTGTGAGACTATGACAGTCATTAGGCGAAGAAACAACACATACTATTAGACAGGAGCTAATACCTTTTTCAATGTGCCACACATTGTAATACTGTTTGATGTTGGCCTCCCGCAGGTGTTTTCGTATTTGAGGTTGCCGGTTTGTAACAATGCTGTCAAAAGTCACACCGTGTGACCTCAAGAGATCAAGGCTCCTCCTCAGACCCTCTTTCTCCATGTTGTTGCTCCCTCCAACTTCATTATTCTGGTTACAAAATAAAGGGCACACATGACAATTGTTGACAATGCCTTTTATGTTAGCGAATAGCTACACACTAAGAAAAACCCTGTGCCTTTTTTCCCCCTGTACATTAACTTTGTTGCATTGCATGTGCATTACATCTTGCATCAGTCTGTAATGTTAGACTCACCTGAACTAGTTGCAGATCAATTATAGTGCTGGTCCTTAGGTCCATAAGTGAGTAACTTCCAAACTTGGCTGAATGACCTTAACATAGAAAATTAATGTTTACTTTGTATTGCATTCGGTATTAATTATTAGTATTCTGTATGTTTTGTTTCACAGTAATATGTAAACTGAGACGGTTGTTCAGAATTTAGTACCTGGCGAATCTGCCCTCATGTCTCCACCCAGGACAATGTTCTGCTGCTGTCTGAGCTTCTGCAACATGCCATCCTGTGCTGTCTTCCAGCTATGTACAATTGCAGGCTGTATGTACCTTCGGGCATGAATTCGAAAGGTGGTGTAGTGGATCATTTTCAGTTTCATTGCCTGGAATATCTAAGGTCAGAGAAGAGGATTCCTTCATTTAGTATTACTTATTTTTGTTCAGGGTTGATCTTTGTGATATTACTTGCAATAGTAAATAATATGGCTAGACAGTAAAATCCTCACCAACCTACCTTTTTAACTTTGAAGAAAGAGGCACCATTGGCATACACTGCAATGGAAAGCTGAAGGTTCCCTGCAGGAGTGCTTTGTATAATTGGCTGACTATTCCATTTTCTGAAGAAGTCACAATTTGGGCAGCGTTGTTCCACGGAGAGGAATGTGCCAAATACTTTTCTCTGTACATTGGTAATACTTTGACACACAGGGCACTGCTCAAAAAGCTGCAGCAGGCAGTTTTCATAAACAATGTAAGTCGCTGTCTTGTGGACCGGCTTTGAAGACTCAAATCTATAAGAATAATAAAGAGATACTTAAACATAAAAAAGTACAAATACAATCGAACTGACTGCAATATTTTACAAAACAATTGTCTTGTCACTTACATGACATCTGTTGGCTCACTCAAGTTTGTGACGGAGTCATCTGGATCATATGTGGAATCCAAAGGCTCTTCCACATTCATGCTTGAGCTGGTTCCCGAAGGGTCCTCCTCTTCCTCCTCTAGCTCCAAGCGAGATCTCTTATTTGGCCTCTTTAGTGGTGGTGTTGTTAATAATGATGATGATGATGATGATAGCAGTGGTATTGACTGGCCAACACCAGTATCTGGGTATAACATAGTTGTCTGTGTGCCTGTTGCATATTAGTTGACATTTTAATACAGTGAAGTAAAACAAAATGAAAAATCAATAAATATTATTACTGATAATACCACAAAACTCCACACTATAGAAGATCTGGATCAGCAAACCTGTGCTTTTGTATTGCCGACATAAAGTTTCCATTGAGAGCTGGGTGCCAACTGTGCACATTTTCTTTTGGCTGGCCACATGTTGCACCATGTCCAATTCTTTAGATATGCTTGCCTATATAAAAGCAAATATGCTAAGTGATCACATAACATGACTTATTCCGGTGTAATATTGAAAATCATCAGAGTATTTACAGTCTTCTGCATTTGCAATTATACACTCACTTTCTCTGGAGGTGCAGCAGGAACACGAATTGTTGGTACCGATTGTTTTTTCAGGAGCAGCTTCTTAGCAAAACCAGCTTTATACTGACCCTCGTTTATAAAGCAGTCTGGTGAGAAATGATTCGCGCAAACATGATAGTATTGACGTTGACGAGAGGGAATATTCCCTTTGAAAACAAAACTTAGCCATTGCGTCTTCAGCGGTTCGGATTTAGGAACATCAAAATGACTGATGTGTTCGTTATTACACCCAAGAACAGAACACCACAATCGCTTAGACGCCATATTCTGCTCTAGTGTATCAACAATGGCGGACTATGATGATAGCTCGCTCAGGGCGAGTCTGTTTTGAAACACTGCTGTCAATCAACAATCGTGGGAGGGGCGCCCGACCGTGTGGCGTCAAACGGTCGGTCAGACGGCTAGGTTTGAGAGTCGGGGAAGTGTCTATTATTGCTAAAGCAATATTATATGTTGATCAAATATCAGTAAGTTACATATCAGATTTGTGCTGATATTCGAAAAGCTCTGTTGACAAGCTCAACCTCGGTTGAGATGCTTCCTCAGTGGAATGATCTATTCTATGGCAAGCCATATTAGCTTTAGCGTTTGAGCTATGGCATGCCAAATTAGCTTTTAATGTTCTCAGTTACTTGTCATAATTGCATTTTTACCTACTAGTAACAATTGAATTGAAGAGCTCTTTAGTTAAATTCTTACCAGTAACAATTACAATTAGAGAGATCTTTAAATCAATTCTTATTAAAAATGACAGAGAGCTCTCTAAATTAAGTTTTACAGAGCTCTGTAATTAAAAAAAAAATTAATGACTGCATCATTGAATGTCAGATATCAGTTGCTCTCTCTCTCTCTCTCTCTCTCTCTCTCTCTCTCTCTCTCTCTCTCTCTCTCTCTCTCTCTCTCTCTCTCTCTCTCTCTCTCTCTCTCTCTCTCTCTCTCTCTCTCTCTCTCTCTCTCTCTCTCTCTCTCTCTCTCTCTCTCTCTCTCTCTCTCTCTCTCTCTCTCTCTCTCTCTCTCTCTTTAGACTTCCTACAATGTATTAAAGTTATATCCAGATTGTATTTGAGTCTAAAGTGAAACTTTTAAGTGAGTCTTTGTAATAGGCTACTGATAGTGAAACTGATTATGATCCATATAATCTAATATTATGATCCATATAATCTAAAATCTGTGAAAGCTTACTTCTTTGAAAGCTAAGCGATTAAGTGAACATAACTCTAAGAGCTGTACAATATTAATGAACTAGATTATCATACAGTGTCAGATTTAAAGAGATTTTTCAAAGATTAATTATATGATTTCTCCTGTTGTCAACGTTGTGGTGTTCGCTTTCGTTCACTAAATGCAATGCACTACACAACAGGACCACTAGATGTCCCCCTGCACCGTAGATCTCACATAGGTGAACATGATTTCAAAGAGTACAACATGTTCCTCAAACATCTTTGTTGATTCTGGAACAACATTCCAATCAACCAATCAGATTTGAGGGACAAATTTTATAGTCTATGTCAAGTTTAGGCTTACAAACCAGGGTTAGGTGCTTCTGCATCAGTGTTATTCAGCTAGGGCCTATCATTTTCAATTTTGGGGATAATGTATGGGTATTGGGCGATAGGGTTAGGATTTTTGGACTGGAATTTTGTTTTTAGGATCCATGAACATGTCTTACTTGCCAAAATCACACATGAAGTGTAGGCTACCAGGTTGCTTTTTATTGAACACATCACTGCAATTTGAGTTTAAAAATGTAAATGAAACCTTGTAGTGTTTAGAGTGTGTAGCCACAGTTAGGACCACAGATAAGACCACAGGGTTCAATGAATGGGAGAGACAAGACCAAGACCAGTGTATGGCCATTACATCAACACTTTACAGTGATCAATACTCTTGTGTATAAAACATAGTCTCTCACTAAAACAGTATGCCATAATCCCCCTTTTTTTGTGGGATAGTTTTTCAATGGTTAAAATTTGTCCATTGAAAAAATAGTTTAAAAGGTCATTTACAATAGAACCTGTCTATTTTATCAGATTTTATCAGATTTTATCAGTGTCAGACTGTTCCTGCAGCAACACTTTCATGTTCACCTGATGCCTTTTGACATCATTGTGACGAATCAGCCACAACAAATTAATTATGGCTTACATATAATCCACTGATGAATATTAGGTTTTGGTAGTATTTAAAACGTATAGACATCAAGCAAAAAAAATAAAGCATATTATTTAAATTAAGAATATGGCTGAGATCAAACTTTTACAAAACTGAACTGTAACCAAACACCATATTCAACTGTTGCATTTACGTACTAGCCAAATTGTTTAGTTGAATTTAATTGTAAAAGACAAGAAGATGGTGGGATGATGCAAGTGCTGGAAAAAGAGAGGGGTCTAGATGATTCTATAATTGAGTACAGTGCTGTTTGGCTCAATATGAATCACTGTAAGAGCCCAGCAGAGCCATAGACAGATGGGAAAACACAAGGAGTGGTGAGTCTTGCTCTGTAGGATGGATTAAAAAAAAAGAAAAAACAACCAGTCAATACTGTGTGTGTGAGTGTGTGTGTGGGTGTGTGTGTGTGCATGTGTAAATCAACCCTGCCTCCAAAGACAGTCTGAGATATACTGTTATGCTATTGCTGAGTCCATTCTCCAGGCAGCAGTAAATTGTCTTTGGCTCAGAGTATTGAAGCACAGAGACCTTCAGCGCAAAACCAGTCATTACCTACAATCACACACTTGCTGTGAATATAGCCACACTAAATGACTGCTGCATGACGCAGTCAACAGTATTGTCTTTTATCAGAAAGACTGAAAGAATTATTTGTGTATTTGGACTATTTTACTCATTAAAAATATCAAGAGAGCAAGAACTTATTAATTCTAGAACTAGTGCAGTGGCTTAAACTGACAACGATTCGTACTGATATATAATTAATATTTCATCTCGATTTTTACCGGGGAGATAAAGAAGAATGTTTTTGATAATTTTGTCCTGAGAGCGAAAGAGAATGACTGCACAGAATAAAGTCACGAGGTTTGGAACAACATGAGTAAATGATAACGGAAGGTTTATTTTGAGGTGAACAGTAGGCTACATTCATAATACAGGCCTGTGTGATCATTTGGTCAGCAGCTCAGTTTGGCACACATTGCTCTCAGGGGACACATACTGAGGGTTATTTTTAGTCTGGGAATAAAATTCACTTTGACAATTCAGAAACAACTGCACTAAATCTGACACAAAGATCTTTTTTTCTCTTGAATGAGCCCTTTTATTATTGATACAATTATTAATAAATTGGTCCATGCATCATCTATCTATCTATCTATCTATCTATCTATCTATCTATCTATCTATCTATCTATCTATCTATCTATCTATCTATCTATCTATCTATCTATCTATCTATCTATCTATCTATCTATCTATCTATCTATCTATCTATCGAGTAGCCTACCTACCTACCTAATATAGATGTGTTTGTGGGAGGAGGAGGAAATAAAGAGAGCCAGTAGAAATGAAAAGGAGAGAGAGGTCATCATTTGGTGCAGGCTGTGGTGTAGATGGGGACAGGCATGAGCTGAGTCCTCCACACCGGCAAACTCTCCTCCTCACGGAAGAACAGCGGACTCACTGTAACCGCCTCACGTACAGCCTAATATCGCAGTTTCCGCGTGTCGCTGATGTTCATGGTTATTAATAGGCTGCATTGGTCTTCCGTCGGTTTCTTTGGACCATTCAGATCAACGGATCAGATGCGAGTGCGCAGTGTTTGAGGTGACAGTAGCCTACTAAGAACGCTCAAGATTCATTTCATAAGACTCGATTTGAAAGCGGACCGGAACCGGAGGCGAAATTAATGGAGCCGTGCACGTCTTGTTGAGGATCCATCTGCACTCGTCCTCAATGGTCACCTTCTGTCCGAGCCTGTCTTTCTGCTTGCTGCAGTCCGCATCAGAGGATGTACGCTGAGGGAAGCACGCCAGACACTGAGCCAGACGCGTGCCAGAAGAAGACATCATGCTTCTCCAACATCAAAATATTCCTCATATCAGAATGTGCCTTAATGTTGGCACAGGGCACTGTAGGAGCCTATCTGGTAAGTCGAGCCGATAACACAGGCAGCTCATACTGTACGTATGTGGATGACATTGAATGGTGTCCGGTACGCATCGCTTACCTTTACCCTAAAGCAAGATAAATAAACCACATCATGAGGTATAGCTGGGGCTTTGCGTGCGGAACTGCGACTGCTTTATTTCTACATGATTTAGAGGCGCTATAATGGAAGATGATCATCAGTCTAGTGAGTGGCCCATGGCCGATTAGCTTATTTTGTCTTTTTGAGCCATGGATGCACTTATGGTTGGAAACAATTTTTTTTTTGAATGATCAGACCTTCTATGGAAAGATGTTTATTCCTTAAAAAATATTTTTTTTTAGTAGACTAATACTATTTTTATGTTATCCTAGTTCTAAAAGTTATCTAGCAGTGACTAGTGTTTTAAAAAAAAATCAATTTCACTTTTAACTTTTAAATAAATGCTATTAATTTGATGCTAGTATAATGCTATTCCAGTATTTACTATAGTTGGCCCTATCTGTTTACTAGTAGCCTATCATTTATGAGATAGTATAATTCATTACGACTGTTTTGGAGCAGAAATAATGAACTATTCCGTATTTACTCATAATATATTTATATATATATATATATATATATATATATATAAATGAATACATAATTTTAAAACAAAATACATAAAAACAAGTTTAATAATATTGTCATTTTAATTTTATATTAAAATGACAATATTATTGTCATTTTAATATATGCCAATATTATTGTCATATACTGACAATAATATTGTCAGTTTTTAGGGTGACTCTGTAACATTAACTCTAAGGATGATGAAAAATGTCTTGCTAACTCTGGCCCATTTACAGTAGTGTTTAGGAATGTGCACTAATTCCTGTTTAGTAAATTAATAAAATAAAAATAATAATAAAGGGTTGCTATTAAATTCTATGGTTATTTCTATGGATTCCATCTATTTACTAGATTTATTTCAGTTGTTGCTGGTACTTATTTCCGTAGCTAGTAAGTAGATACTTGTAGTTTCTTATAACTATTAAAATAGCTACTGGTAATCCAGTTTTCCTAGTACGTATATTGTTATTACATGTATTTTTAACTGAACTAAAGTAGTGATTCTGACTAATCTTTACATATGACCAAAAAAAATGTATTTTGGATTTGGAAACTCACAAGATGACAAATGTTATAACAAGCAAAATAAGTACTACTGTCTTAGAAAAAAGGTTGCTAAATTTCTGGTGCCCATAGAAATATACATACATCTTCTTCCGCTCATCCGGGGCCGGGTCGCGGGGGCAGCAGTCTAAGCAGAGATGCCCAGACTTCCCTCTCCCTAGACACTTCCTCCAGCTCTTCTGGGGGGATACCGAGGCGTTCCCAGGCCAGCCGGGAGACATAGTCTCTCCAGCGTGTCCTAGGTCTTCCCCGGGGCCTCCGCCCAGTGGGACGTGCCCGGAACACCTCCCCAGGAAGGCGTCCAGGAGGCATCTGGAACAGATGCCCGAGCCACCTCAGCTGACCCCTCTCGATGTGGAGGAGCAGCGGCTCTACTCTGAGCTCCTCCCGAGTGACCGAGCTTCTCACCCTATCTCTAAGGGATCGCCCAGCCACCCTGCGGAGAAAGCTCATTTCAGCCGCCTGTATCCGGGATCTTGTCCTTTCGGTCATGACCCAAAGCTCATGACCATAGGTGAGAGTAGGAACGTAGATTGACTGGTAAATCGAGAGCTTTGCCTTACGGCTCAGCTCCTTCTTCACCACAACAGATCGGTACATCGACCGCATTACTGCTGAAGCTGCACCGATCCGTCTGTCAACTCTTCACCACTCTGGAGTTGCCCATGGTGAGAGGCGGCGGGCTGGTGTGGGCTTGCTTATAGCCCCCCAGCTCAGCCGCCATGTGTTGGAGTTTACCCCGGTGAACGAGAGGGTCGTTTCTCTGCGCCTACGGGTCGGGGATAGGTCTCTCACTGTCGTTTGTGCCTACGGGCCAAACGGCAGTGTAGAGTACCCGGCCTTCTTGGAGTCTCTGGGAGGGGTGCTGGAAAGTGCCCCGACTGGGGACTCCGTTGTTCTACTGGGGGACTTCAACGCTCACGTGGGTAACGACAGTGACACCTGGAGGGGCGTGATTGGGAGGAACGGCCCCCCCGACCTGAACCCGAGTGGTGTTCAGTTATTGGACTTCTGTGCTAGTTACAGTTTGTCCATAACGAACACCATGTTCAAGCATAAGGGTGTCCACCAGTGCACGTGGCACCAGGACACCCTAGGCCGTAGGTCGATGATCGACTTTGTGGTCGTTTCATCTGACCTGCGGCCGTATGTCTTGGACACTCGGGTGAAGAGAGGGGCGGAGCTGTCAACTGATCACCACCTGGTGGTGAGTTGGATCCGATGGCGGGGGAGGAGGCTGGACGGACTCGGCAGACCCAAGCGTACTGTGAGGGTTTGCTGGGAACGTTTGGCCGAATCTCCTGTCAGAAAGATCTTCAACTCTCACCTCCGGCAGAGCTACGACCAGATCCCGAAGGAGGCTGGAGATATTGAGTCTGAGTGGACCATGTTCTCCACCTCCATTGTCGAAGCGGCTGCTCGGAGCTGTGGCCGTAAGGTCTCCGGTGCCTGTCGAGGCGGCAATCCTCGAACCCGGTGGTGGACACCGGAAGTAAAGGATGCCGTCAAGCTGAAGAAGGAGTCCTATCGGGCCTGGTTGGCTCGTGGGACTCCGGAGGCAGCTGACAGGTACCGGCAGGCCAAGCGGACTGCGGCCCGGGTGGTCGTGGAGGCAAAAACTCGGGCCTGGGAGGAGTTCGGTGAGGCCATGGAGAAGGACTATCGGCTGGCTTCGAAGAAATTCTGGCAAACTGTCCGGCGCCTCAGGAAGGGGAAACAGTCCCCTACCAATGCTGTTTACAGTAGGGGTGGGCGGCTGTTGACCTCGACTGGGGATGTCGTCGGACGGTGGAAGGAATACTTCGAGGACCTCCTCAATCCCGCCGTCACGTCTTCCATTGAGGAAGCAGAGGCTGAGGGTTCGGAGGTGGACTCGTCCATCACCCTAGCTGAGGTCACCGAGGTAGTCAAGAAACTCCTCGGTGGCAAGGCACCGGGGGTGGATGAGATCCGCCCCGAATACCTTAAGTCTCTGGATGCTGTGGGGCTGTCTTGGTTGACACGCCTCTGCAGCATCGCGTGGCGGTCGGGGACAGTGCCTCTGGGATGGCAGACCGGGGTGGTGGTTCCTCTTTTTAAGAAGGGGGACCGGAGGGTGTGTTCCAACTATAGGGGGATCACACTTCTCAGCCTCCCTGGGAAAGTCTATGCCAGGGTACTGGAGAGGAGAATACGGCCGATAGTGGAACCTCGGATTCAGGAGGAACAGTGCGGTTTTCGTCCTGGCCGTGGAACACTGGACCAGCTCTATACTCTCTACAGGGTGCTGGAGGGTTCATGGGAGTTTGCCCAACCAGTCCACATGTGTTTTGTGGATTTGGAGAAGGCATTCGACTGTGTCCCCCGAGGCGGCCTGTGGAGGGTGCTCCGGGAATATGGGGTCCGGGGTCCTTTGCTAAGGGCTGTCCGGTCCCTGTATGACCGAAGCAGGAGCTTGGTTCGCATTGCCGGTAGTAAGTCAGACTTCTTCCCGGTGCATGTTGGACTCCGGCAGGGCTGCCCTTTGTCGCCGGTTCTGTTCATAATTTTTATGAACAGAATTTCTAGGCGCAGCCAGGGGCCGGAGGGTGTCAGGTTTGGGGACCACACGATTTCGTCTCTGCTCTTCGCGGATGATGTTGTCGTGTTGGCCCCTTCATACCAGGACCTTCAACATGCACTGGGACGGTTTGCAGCCGAGTGTGAAGCGGCTGGGATGAAAATAAGCACCTCCAAATCCGAGGCCATGGTCCTCAGCCGGAAAAGGGTGGCTTGCCCACTTCAGGTTGGTGGAGAGATCCTTCCTCAAGTGGAGGAGTTTAAGTATCTTGGGGTTTTGTTCACGAGTGAGGGAAGGATGGAACGGGAGATTGATAGAAATAAGTGACAAAAAATGTGCAATTCGTTGCCAGTAACAATAGTGAGTGGGGATTGAGGAGAATGTTCAAGTATCTAAAAAGTACTGGTGACTAATGGGATTAAAATTACTTACAACTAATTAGAAAAACGAGTAGTACTGGTAACATAAATATAGACAATGTTCAGTTTAAAGAAATAAATGTTATAAGCTTTCAGCAAAAGAGAAAGATTCACTCACTCCCATCACTTCATGAATGCATCTGCTCTTAAGTAAAGTTATATGATTGATATTATTTTTCCTAGGATGATGACTTTTGTATATATGTAAGTGCAAATATGCCCTACCTTTTGCTTTATCTAAGGTATTTAACATGTTATGTATGTTATGTTGTGACCTAAATGGCACATATTTATATGGTATAAATCGCTTAAATAATTACATAGTTTTTTTCAACTCTCCGAACATTTGATTTATACCTTCAATATTGCGTAAATGAGTTCTTCATGCCAGTATACACAGCATCCATGTTCTCAACAAAATCTCATCAATCTATTCTATTGCTTAAGATCTCCAAGCCACGAAAGCATAAACAACATATGGGTTTGGCATATGGTCATTGCTCGTTATCTCACAGCTTTGTAACTGTATATTTTTTCTTTATATTGTAGGTCAGTGTCCTCACCACACTAGAGCGACGTTTCAACTTGCAGAGCGCTGACGTGGGTGTGATCGCCAGCAGCTTTGAGATTGGCAACCTTGCCCTCATCTTATTCGTCAGCTACTTTGGGGCCAGGGCCCATCGGCCTCGGCTGATTGGTTGTGGGGGCATCGTGATGGCGCTGGGCGCGTTACTGTCAGCACTGCCTGAGTTCTTGACCCACCAGTATGAATATCAGTCTGGAGAGCCACGACCTGTGGGACAGGGAAAAGACGTGTGCTCCAATAGCAGTCGAGCTGGGCTCTCTGATCCAAATTATTTCTGTGGAAATAGAACAAACACCAACATGATGTACCTGCTGCTGATCGGAGCTCAAATGCTTCTGGGGGTTGGAGCGACACCCCTGCAGCCGCTGGGCGTGTCTTACATCGATGATCATGTCAGGCGTGAAGACTCCTCCCTTTATATTGGTGAGAGTGATCTACGCAACCATTATTGTGTTATGTACCCCCTCCAGCCCCATCAGTAAGGCTTAAAGGGATACTCCACTTTTTTTGGAAATAGGCTCATTTTACAACTCCCCCAGAGTTAAACTGTTGAGTTTTATCTTCTTTGAAACATTGAAGTGCACAAGACCTTGAGTTTCGATATTTTTCCTATTTAAAACTTGACTCTTCTATAGTTACATTGTGCACTAAGACAGACGGAAAATGTAAAGTTGCGATTTTCTAGGCTGATATGCAGGGAACTATACTCTCATTCCTGCGTAATAATCAAGAAACTTCACTGCCGTACCATGAGTGCAGCAGGCATAATGACTACACAAACTTAGTCCCGGTCACGTTGGAAGCTGGGCACTATTTTCAGGCGCTGCGTCATAACATTACGCCTGCTGCACTCATGGTACGACAGTGAAGTTTCCTGATTATAATTTTCTTGATTATTACGGAGGAATGAGAGTATAGTTCCTAGCCATATCAGCCTAGAAAATCGCAACTTTACATTTTTCGTCTGTCTTAGTGCACGATGTAACTATAGAAGAGTCAAGTTTTAAATAGGAAAAATATCGAAACACTTTGGTCATTTTTTTGGGAGAAATGCTAATGGTCTTGTGCACTTTAATGATGTATGCTAAGCTATGCTAAAAGTGGTACCGCCAGAACCGGAGATCGGCTGAATGGATTCAAAAACGGTAAAACTCAACAGTTTAACTCTGGGGGAGTTGTAAAATGAGCCTATTTCTAAAAAAAAAGTGGAGTATCCCTTTAAAAGCCCCTTAATCAGAGATATTGTGGGTGACAAACAGTAGTACATATTTATATTCGTATACAAACATATTAAACATGCACACATTATACATACACATTATATTGTTCTCTTTCCTTAATTATGAAACAGAATAGTAGTAGACATTTTTAGTGTTGTGTAGGGTACCTGGTGACCAAAGGTTCCTAGATTTTATTGACAGATTCTGATTGTACTTTATTAAATCTATTGTTAAAAAACATTCATTAAAATAATCAAATGATTAATAATTATTATTGTAAATAAATTATTATTATTATTATTTTAACTTTTTATTCAGTTTAGGATTTAAAAAGTAAAATTAACAAAGTAAAAAAAATTAATTGGTTCATTTTTGGCTAATGGGTAATACTTTGAAATAAGATGTATTAACAAACATTAGATAACAATGAGCAATACATTTGTCACTGTATTTAGTATTCATCTTTGCTAGATAGTTAATCAAAATACAGCTGTTCATTGTTAGATACAATGTTTGATTTTAATAATGTATTAGTAAATGATGAAATTTAACAAATGGAAGCTTATTGTAAATTTTTTATCAATAAATGTAAAAGTATTGTTCATTGTTGGTTCATAATAACTAACATAGAACATTAGGTAACACTTTAGTTTAGGGTCCAATTCTCACTATTTACAAGTTTCTTACTAGCATTATTACTATGAAATTGGCTGTTTACATATTATAATGGCCATATTCTACATCCCTTAATACCCAATACTTAAACTTAACACCTACCTCACTAAGTATTTATAAGCAGTAATTAGGAGTTTATTGAGGCAAAAGTCGTTGTTAATAGTTAGTTAATAGTGATAGCTTTTAAACTAAAGTATGACCGGACATTATTGTGACATGATACAGATGAATTGTTTTGAACAAATTTATTTGCCATTATCTATTCTAAATCACTCCAGGAGAGAACAGCATTTGGTTTAAATGCTCTCCTTTACCTACTATTTAAAATAAAATAAAAAATATTTTACTGTATTGTAGAATGTGGCTAAAGATAAATATTGTATTTTAAATGTCCTCAATGACACTATGAGTGCTGTTTTTATTTTAGGGCATATCATGTAGCACTACGGTCAATATCCTGCGTTGAAACAATAACAGCACTTATTATTATTAATGATTTATAAGCCACAAAATGTTGTATGCTCAGCGCATCAGCTTTTTACTGCTTCTTGGAGGACTCCCTAGCAGAAAGCTTTTGTATGAACGTACACAAACGCATAGTTATTGTATGTGGCTGGTTTAGGTTTGGGGTGAACTCACTTGGGAAATTTCCAAGAATTGAGCTTTAACCCATTGGTTTAGAGTAGTGCACCACTGTCTTACAGTAATCTCCTGTTGCTATGTTTTCAGGGTGTAAACAATAAGCAATGATGGCCTTCAGTGCCTGTTATTTCTGTGGAGAAGCTAATGTGTGCTGGCTGCTCTGTCATCCCTCAGGCAGCTCACTCTTTCTCACTATTCTTCTCTCTCTCTCTATTCTTCACACTCTCATTCTCTCGCACTACAACAATGATTCTCCATAAAGACTAGATCATCAACCCTAGACTTAAATGTCTTAAGAAAGCTCCTGAAATATAATCCTTGCATGGAAATTGACAATTGTAATTGAGTTGCTTTGCACAGGTAATTCAAGGTCTGGGTGTGAAGATTCTGTGTGAATGTTTGTGGGTTTGTGTGTGTGTGCGTTTCACATCATTTCTGCTGTCTCCTTCTCTGCAGGGTGTTTGACGTCTTTGCATTGAGCTGAATTGACTGTCTATGAGCATTAATGTCTGTGCAACCCAAGCAAGCTTCTTTCTCTCTCACTCTTGCGTGTTTTAATCCTTTGTAACCTTTAAAACTGGACCCGTCTCTTATTGAAGCATAGTGTGTAAACTAGCACAGACATAAACATCCTCTTTGGAGACAGTCATTGCTGGTGGGCATAATGGAATCAGTCATTTAGCTGTTTGATCACAGAGGCTTTGGTTAACAGAAATGTATTTGGCATCTTTCACAAAGGCCCAACCAGAAAGGCCTATCTGTTTAAAGTGAATTATCCAGCGTTTGTATTCATACAGAATCCTAGAGTAAGAGAACTTATCTAGGATTACATAGTGGTAACATTAGGACTGACATGCTTAATCAATTTCATCCAGACTAATGGATAGAACTAAAACACTTTTTAAAGATCCAGAGCAAATACAACGTTGAAGGTCATGTTACAGATCATTTTGCCCCTTCACAGCAATGAGATGAGGTTCATTCTTCACCAAGGACGATAACTATTATAACTATAAAGTTTTAAAAATCATTCTAATTCTATGTGAATAGGGAAGTCCACGCCACAACTATAACGATAACGTCACAGAGGAAAGCTAATGGAATCACTCTCAAATCAGAAAGATATCGTTGGGATCACTTTTGTTTTCCAGTTGATGATGATGAAAACATAGACAGCCAATTAGAATCCACCAGACTTTAAAGAGCTCAAGCATAAAACGCGGTAGACAACATAGCCATAGTGTCCATGTAGATTTTAGTCATCACAGAAATAAATTACATTTAAAAAGAATAATATATAAAATAGATATTTTACTGTTTTTTGATCAAATAAATCCAGCCTTGGTGGATTAAAGAGACTTATTTCAAAAACATTTAAAAATCTTGCCAAACCCAAACTTTGGAATGGCAGTGTATTTATTTATATTATTTTTATTTATTTATATATTTTTATTTATTTATTTCATGTATAGCTGTATAATGCACATGTTAATGTACAGTCAGTCAGTCATTACAGCAAAATAAACCCTTTCAGGATGATACAAAATCACCCTTTCAGCTGCGTCTGACTGTACATTATCTGTTACATGTTCATTTATAGTGTTCTCTGATCATGCTTATGCTGTGACTGGACAGATAACTACTTGTTGATTGGTAAAACAGCTGATAGTACAAGGTTTACCAACACATGCATAATCTATATGTTGGCTAACCCCCTGTTATTATTCCTACAAGATATAATAATCAACACAGAAATGTTTGCTCACCGAATGCTCATCAGCTTTATCATAAACTCATCAGGTGCCGGTTATAGCAATGATTATGTAGATCATGCAAATTAGCTATTGGAGAACTTTTTTTTTAATATACACAATCATTAAAGGAAATAGCTTCTTTACTTTGGGCTACTTGTTGTTGTGTCTCAGAGGGGAATACAGTTGCAATCAAAATTATTCAACCCCCCGGAGACTGAAATAATTTACAAATGTAAGCTTTTCTAATGATTCAGAGTTTTTTTTTTTTTTTTAAATGCATCTATAACAGTTTAGTGGCAAAAATTTAGCGATAATCTCAATATTTAATATATATGCTTTTGGGTAATAGCATTTTTTTTTGTAATACAGCTACGTCATAATTATTGTCATAAAGTCATTTTTTGTATGTTATGGTGCAAAGTTGTGTTAAATCACAATTAAGCCCTTTGGAAACTAACAATCTGAATTAGCTTGTGCTGTTACACATGCATGTGCTAAAGTTGAGTAGCAAATATGGCCAAGTTAAAAAAGCTCTCACAAAAGCTATAGAGAACAAGATGTTGTATTAAATTAGAAAGTCTATGACTACAAGAAGATTCCCAAACCAATAATAGTTAACAGAGAGATGGCTGCCTTATTCATAAGTTTAACATTTGATGCAGCAGAAAACCTTTGAGTGCTTTGAGATAAAAGGCACAATATCATCAGGAGGAATACAATTTTTGATCAGAGCAACCAAGAAAAACCCTCAATTAATGGCCAAAGACCTACAAGATGAAAAAACATTTACAATCCAAAGAATTAGAAGAAGACTAGACAGACGAGCAATAATGATCCAATAATGCAGCAAGTTTTTAATAGGGAAATACGTTACTCATAAAACAGTGCAGGCAAAGGTCGACATGCACATAAGCAATCCAAAACACAAAGAACAACGAGCAGACAGAAACAGACCTCAGACGTAGTGTGATAATAGATAAGGACTATGTAACAAACACTAAACAAGGAGGCTACTTATACACACAAACTAACGACCATAATGGTTGACAGGTGGGTGCAATGAACAATGATGAGAACAGACAAGTATTGTGGGAAATGCAGTTTCTAATGTGGTTGACACTGGGGGGGAAGAGGACCTCAGACACCGGCTCAGACTCGGCTCAGAAACACAAACCCATACTGTGACACCCC